TCTGCTTCTCTAGGATGGCTTCAGCTCTTCCAGGACATTCTGTGACCACCCCCCTGTTCAATTTCTCAGACCAACAGCCCTTGCCCCCCAACTCCCTCATCTTGAAGACTTACACCCCTGCAAAGAGGGTCTCTCCACTGCTTAGTATTTAGGCACAAGGTCAAGCCCCAGAATTCACACTCCCTTCCTTAAGCCCACTGTCCTGCCTTCTGCCCATCTAGGGGCAGAAGGGCCAGGGCTGACATCTCCAGCAGCCCTGTTCTGTGTCAGGCTCAAGTCCTTGTGCCTCACATGAAACCTGGGCTGTACTCGCTCAGAGGACTGGAGGCGGGCAGGGACTACCTGGATCCCTGCTCTGCAGGAGGAGGGAGGAAGACTCCACTGTACCCACATTTAGATGCACAGGGGCTTTAGTTGTTGCCTCTGAAATCTGGGATGCCTCTACCCGCTGACTTTGCTTTCATTTGTTTCTATCTTGACCTCTTCTGCACTTACAAAGACTGAATTAAAAAAAAAAAATGGAAATGGGGAAGAAAAGACCTGCACCTCCTCGGCTAGAGATTGAAGCCTGAGGACATTCCCTCTTCAGCTCCTAATAGCCCTAGAATCAAAGTGTTCTCTTTGCCCAGCTGTGTGCAGCCTACAGGATTCCTCTTGAATCTTCCCTATCCCCTCAGTGATAGGTTATGGGGACATAGAGAGGAAACATGGAGAAGCAGAGGGAAGCACAGACAGACAAAAGATAGACACACAGAGAAAACTACAAAGAGATTTAGATTGAAGAAAGATAGAAATGTACTCACTGGAGGACAGGAGAAAAAAAGAGGAGGGGAGAGAGAGAAATAGAAAKAGAGAGATAAGTAGAGATACAGAGAAAGAAAAGAGAGAGAATGAAAAAGGGAGTCAGAGAGAGAGAGAAGGAAGATAGAACCCATGGACCAGAAGCCTCCACCCACTCCACATCATTGAGCCAAAGAAAGGAAGTGGGGTCTGAGGGAGGAAGCCAGACCTCCCTGTCTGTGGCTTTGCCATGACCCTCTGACCCTGATGTCCTTAACTTTGAGTCAGTGAACTTTGATGGGAAAAAAATGTATATCATTTTCACCAATCTCTAGCTGAAGTTTAGTATTTCCTTCAATTATGACAATAGTCATATTAGCCATAACTATATACACATATTTTCGTATCCTAGTATAGTATTATAGGTCTTTTGAAATATCATTTATGCTCATCACTTCTTGAAAATTATGTGAGAAATCAACCTAACACTAGATATTATTTAAAGCATTAGTAAAAAAAAAATTACGATAGCACATTAAAAGTTTTATAACTTTGCTGAAATACAATTGGTTTCCTTTATAGTCCTGTATGTTTCATCTTATGCATTTCATTAGTTAATTAATTAATTAATTTTGGTATCAGTACCTTTATTTTATTCATATATTTTTATGTGTGCTGAGGATTGAACCCAGGGTCTCGCACGTGCAAGGCGAGCGCTCTACCGCAGAGCCACAACCCCAGCCCTATTTACTTATTCTTTTTTTTTTTGTATCAGGAATTGAACCCAGGGGCGCTTAACCACATCCCCAGACCTTTTAATATTTTAGTTAGAGAAAGGTTCTCAGTAAGTTGCTTAGGGCCTCATTAAATTGCTAAGTCTGGCTTTGAACTTTCGATCCTCCTGCTTCAGCCTGCTGAACTGCTGGGAATACAGGAGTGTGTCACCACACCCAGCTTATTTTATGCATTTTAAACCTTTATCGTGAGACAGGATCCACATGTTTTACCCAATTGCCAAAGGAGAACATTGAACAAAAAGGTTTAGAACTCCCTACATCTGACCAGGAAGCTAGTACCCCATCTCTGCTAGCCCTGTGCATTCTTTTGTTACTCTCTTCTTTTGCTGAGTTAGTCCAAATCTTCTAACAAGAAGCCGCCAAAGCATGATGAACCGTGCTAGGACTTGATTAGGGGTAATGCCTATGAGAGAGGAAGGGGGCTTGGGGTTGGGACAATTGGTTTTTGTTTTTGTGGTACTGGAGATCAAACCCAGGGATTGGTCCAAGCATTCTACCACTGAGCTAATCCTAGCCTGGAGTTGGGAGAGCTATGAGGAGGAGAGGAAAGGAAGGGAAGAAGCATCCGAGACAACCATGCCTTTAAGGAACTGTTTTGTAAGGCCATCAGGAAATTCTTGAACCAAAGTTAACAGGAATGGTCCTGCCTTAAGATCTCTACTGAGCTCTATCATTGGCTCAGTGTAGCCCATTTGGAAGCTGGTCTAGCAGAAGCTGATGGATATCAAAGGGAAACAGTTGGAGCCTTGATTAATTTCACTCCTTATAGTCAACAAAAGTCTGTATGGAAAAAAGGACAGAGTGGTCCTCCCTAGGCACTTGCTTCAGGAGTTCTGTCTAGGATTGTAGGTAATTTGAAGAGTTGGCCAGATTCTAGATGCAGGGCCCTGAGTAAGTTACTTAATATTCCCTGTCTCCTTATCTGTAAAATGGAGGTGATGAAAGTCTCTCTTATAGGAGTATTGTGATGATTAATTGAAGTTTGCAGAGCAATATTTGCACAGGGCCTGGGACAAAGGCAGCTCTCGATAATTGGTAGTTATTATTATGGCTATTTTAATTATTAATTATTACTATTATTCTCTTTCTCAAAGGCTCTGGGGAAGTGGGGCTGGAGGAGGCTGAAGATGACAGTTCTTCTCTGGGCTGGGGCAGCCAGGATAGGTGGGACCCATTTCCCCCACTCTCCCTTGGTCTTCCTCCCAGGCAGGGGTCTCCCCCAGCTACTAACAGTTCCTGTGTCTGCTGACTCACAGCCAACTTCCTCTCATACAAACAGGAAAACACAGCCGGCCAGCACACCACCCCCCACCAACACCACACAAAGCTCAATACTGGCCCTACTCTGAGAGGGAAGTGCCTCAGGCTCTGGGGGACATGCTGCAGGGTTGGAGCTCCCACAAAAGGAAATGAAATGAGAGAGGGGAGAAGAAGAATTTCTCCTCAGCTCCCGACCCCTGCAAGCAATTTTCACTTGGGAGAGTCAGGCTGATTGATTGGTCTCCATTGAAGGAAGCCAGCCTTACCCACAAAGGCAACCCCAAACTTTGGTTTAGAAGTGGGGATGCTGCCTGATTAACCTTATCCTTCAGGAAAAACTCTAGGCTGGGTTCTTGGGGGCAACGAAGCCCTTTGGACTCCTCTTCTGGGCCTCCGTTCCAGTTTGCCCCAGCCAAATCGCTGGGCTCCAGAGGAAGGCTAATGCCTATCCGTGACTTGGGGATACGTAGTCTCTGTCCCCATTTAATTGGGTGCCAGGGTCCAGCCACCCTGGTGGGTACGGGAGAGGTGCCCCGAAGACTAACAGCAAGACCTCTTCTTCCCTGCGGTAGGGCTGAAGAAGCAAAGACGCCCTCCGCAGCGCTCTTTCTTTCTCGGTCCCTCTCCCTAAGGCTGTCTCGGTCCCCCAACCGTGTTTTGGTCACTTTCTTGTTCTGCGAGAGGACAGCGCGGGTCAGACCCGGAGATATCTGCGGCGGTTGGGTAAGGAGCCCAAACCATCTGAAGGGCCGCGCTTGCACAAGGAGTGGCGGGGGCCCGGCAAAGGGAACCGGCGGGGCGGGGCGGAGCCGGCCCGTCGGGGGAGGGCTGCGGGAGGCGGGGCGGGCGCGGAGGGACCCGGAGCCTCGGACAGCGCGGCGGGCACCGGGCAGCGGACGGCGGCCGCGCAGTGAGGTGAGGTCCCCCACGACCCCGGGTCCCTACTTCCCAGACTCCACCCCATCACCTCCTCCAGGACCGTCGTGGGCTCCCAGGGCCCCTCCGCGCCGGCGGCCTCCCCCTCTTCTCTCCCCTCCCTCTCCCCTTCCCCGCCACGACCTGCCCCTCCCTCTGGTTTCTAGGCCTCTGCCCCCTCCCTTCTTGCCCCCTCCCTCGGCGTAGCCAGCGCTGCCTGGCGCTGCCCGGTCCGCCCCCRCCACCTCTGTCCAGCCTGCACCTCCTGGCTCCCAGACCCGTGCCTTCGCCCGGCTTGAGTCACCGGGAAACTGGGCCCTGACTCAGGGCCAGAAGTTCAGCAATCTAGCCCTGGCTTGGGGATAGGGCCCGGCTGGCTGGAGGGAGGCAGAGGGAGGCCAGAACTGATGCTGGGATGGAGGGGGAGTCCTAGTTAGGATCTGATTAGAAGAGGGACAGGGAGAAAGCTGTGCAGGCAAAGGCGGAGACAGAAACCCAGGGTCAGAGGCCAGAGATGCAATAAGACCTGGTTAGAATTGAAGACCGTGGCAAAGACAAGTTTAATGACAGAGAGCAAAAAGAAGTGGGACAAGGGGAGGGACAATGATAGATTTAGAGGCAGAGGTGGAGATGGAGTGATTGGGGACAGGGACAAGACAAAGGTAAAATTTAGGGGAGACAGAATCAGAGATTCAGGGAATAGACCAGGGTTAGGGTTGGGCTGCCCCTGTGGGACAGAGCTTTAGAGATCTGAGCCCAGTGATGTGGGAAGAGGAAAGGCAGGCTCAGAAAAAGAGGCTTGGAGAAAAGGGTGTGGAGGGGGTCATTTCACACTGCTGAGTTCCTGCAGGCAGGGTGTCTGCGCACACACATGTGAACATGCCCCGGATGAGTGGTGAATGAAGAAGGCCCTGGACTACCCACTGGCCTTTGGCTTCTCATCTCTAGCCTGTTTCTCCACTCACCCCTGTTCCCTAAGTGGCCTCTGCCCAGGCTGGGATCCCACACACTGGGACTGGTTAGGGCCCTCTGGGCAGCCTGACCAAGGCAGTCAGGATGTGGAGGCGGCCAGGCTAAAGGGACAGGAAGGAAGTCTGAAAAGAGACAATAGGTGGAAGGGGAGGAGGAACTGGGAACCACCAGGATTAGGATGTTCAGCCCGAACCTCAGGCTCTGGAAACCAATGGGAGTGGGGACTGCACCTCCTTCCCTGTACCTAGCCTGTTTCTCTCCCCACATTATTCCACAGCTAGATCTGGCTACACTAATTTCCGCGCCCCCTCTTGTACCCTTGCTTACTCAGCTGAATCTATAGGAACAGGGGCAGAGGTGTGACCTAGGCCTGGGATCAGGGGCAGGCACTTGGGTGGGAGGGGGCTACACTAATACTGCTTCCTGTGAACCTGGGGCAAGACCTTTTCCTTTGCTGGACCTCACGTTCCTCCACTATATGTGGAGGGACTCTAATGTTCTGGGGTGGCTCTGCCTCCAGATTGCAGGCCTTTGGGCATTTTTCTTTTGAGGAAGACTAGAAGCTGGTACCCCTGTCTACGCCTCAGGCTTTGGGGCAGGGGTGGGGGGAATCTCAGCCTGAGCCCTCCCTTCACCCTCACCCTCCCCCCAGCAATGGCCTGAGCCCCCATGGCTGCCCCTCAGGACCTGGACATCGCTGTGTGGCTGGCCACGGTGCATCTGGAGCAGTATGCAGACACGTTCCGGCAGCATGGCCTTGCTACAGCGGGTGCAGCCCAAGGCCTGGGCCACGAGGAGCTGAGGCAGTTGGGCATCAGCGCCACAGGGCACCGGAAACGAATCCTGCGCCTACTGCAGGCGGGCACTGCAGAGAGCTCTCTGGATCCCAAATTGGATAGTATCATGGAGCCATCCTCTAGCCCAGCCCCCCAAACCCAACCCCCAAAACCCGTGCCCAAGCCCAGGACAGTGTTTAGTGGGCTCAGTGGCCCTGCTACCACCCAGAGACCTGGGCTGAGTCCACCTTTTTGGGGACCAGAAAGGTCTAAAGTCTCAGAGTCCAACCCAAGTTCTCCTCCTCTCCCTACCTGCTCCTCTGAGAAGCCTTCAACTCTGAATACCATGGAGATGATGCCCAATGCCATCTACTTTGGCCTGGATTTAAGAGGCAGTGCACAGACAGCTCAGGACATGTAAGTGGAGTTGGCTACCTAGGAATCCGATGCTGAGAGAAGGGGAGCAGGGCATGAAGATGGTCCTTCCTCCTCAGTCCCTTGATAAGCAACAGGCCTTTCTCCTCAGGACTCGAGACAGCTCTCAGACAGCTGCCCCTATCCCTGCCCTCAGGCCCACAACAGGCACAGGTAGGTGGGTTTTCCTAGGCTCAGGGGAGAGGGGTAGTGCCCCTCTGGACCTCAGATACTCCCACCTGATCTCTTCTCCCCTCTCTTTACCCTTCTCCTCACCCCATCAGTGCACATTATGGATCCTGGTTGTCTGTACTATGGTGTCCAGCCTGTGGGGGTCCCAGGTGCCTCCGACAGAAGAGAGGGCAGAAGTGTCTGTCAGGACAGGGCTGAACACAGGTGAGTACTCAGAACAGTGGGAGGATAGGGGAAGCTTGAGGAGCAGTTGAACTAGCAGTGGTCATGTGTCCATTTATTCATCAAATGTGTATTGAGTGTCCACCGTGTGCCAGGCAGGTAGTCAAGATACAGAATGAACTTAGCAGACCTTATKAATCAATGGGGTAAACAGGAAATAAAAGAAGTAGGCAAATAGATACATCATTAAAAATTAGAAGAAGCACTTTTTCTTCTTTCATTCAGAAAATGTTTGTTATACAACTATTATTACATGCTTGATATAGACACTTGGGATAGATCAATGTACACAGAAATCCCTGTCCTTGTCCTGGAAATAGCCAATTAATAAATGTAAGTTATGTAGTATATTAAATGGTGTAAGTACCGTGAAAAAAAAATAGAGCAGGGTAAGAGGACTGAGGAGCAATGTGAGGAGACTTCAGTGTTTCATTAAAAGTCATTGAAGGAGGGGCTGGGGTTGTGGCTCAGTGGCAGAATGTTTGCCTAACATGTGTGAGGCACTGGGTTTGATCCTCAGTACTACATATAAATAAAAAATCAAAAATAATGGTTCATCAACAACTAAAAAAAAGGGTCATTGAAGGTGGATATAGTGACACACATCTGTAATCCCAGGAGGGATTCAGGAGGTTGAGGCAGGAAGATCGAAGGTCTGAGGCCAGCCTCAACAGTTTAGCATGACCCTAAGCAACTTAGCAAGATGCTAAGGGTTGGGGATGTGTCTCAGGAGTAAAGTGTTTCTAAGTTCAATCCCCAGTACAAAAAAAAAAAAAAAATGGAGTGTCAAGAAGACATAAACTGGGCCTCTAACAACAGTGACTCTGGAAGCTGAGGCAGGAGGATCACAAATTTGAGTTGTACTGGGCAACTTAGTGAAAGTCTGTCTCAACATAAAAAATAAAAAGGGGCTGGGGATGTAGCTCAGTGGTAACACATTCCTGGTTCAATCCCTAGTTCTGGGGTAGTGGCAGGGAGAAGACATTTGAGCAAAAGCTCGAAGGAGCTGAGGAGTTAGCCATAAAGATTTTGGGGAGGGGGGAAGGGCTGGGGTTGTGGCTCAGTGGGAGAGTGCTCCCCTAGCATGCATGAGGCACTAGGTTTGCTCCTCAGCACCACATAAAAATAAAATAAAGATGAAAAAAAAAAAAAAAAAAAAAAAAAAAAAAAAAAAAAAAAAGATTTCTGGGGAAAGAGTGTCCCAAGCAGGATAGACGATTCAAGTAGTGCATGTGCCTGGGTGAGACTGTCAGCATGCCTGGGGCTGATGGGCCAGGCTAGGAAGAGTGAGATGAGATGTTAGAGAGGTAAAGGGGCCCCACAGGGTAGGACCTTGTAGGGACTTTCACTTTTACTCTAAGTGAAATGGGAAGCTATTGGAGAGGTTCTGACTTACATTTTATTTTATTGTTTTGCGGCACTAGGGATCAAACCCAGGTGCTCAAGCATGCTAGGCAAGGACTCTACCATTGAGCTACACCCTCAGCATTTTGGCTTAAATTTTAAAAGGATCCCTCTGGGTGATGTGTTGGGAATGGTATGTAGAGGGCAAAAGCAGCAGAGAGACCAGTTAGGGGGTTATTGCAGTTAGGTGGGTGAGAGATCTCAGAGTAGCGATGGTAATAGAGATATAAGAAGTGGCTATATTTTCAGGGCAAACTGTCAAATTTACTTGGGCTCTGAAAAGGAAATAGTAGTCAAGAATGACTTTGAAGGCTTCAGTCTGAGTCTGTGCTGTCCTGTTGGTGACCACTAACCACATATGATCACTGAGCATTTGAAATGTGGCTTGTCAGTATTGTGAAGTATTGTAAGTATGAAACACTCACCAGATTTCAAAGACTTAGAACAAAAAGGAAAAGAAAAGAAACATACAATAACTATAACAGATAAAGATATAAGTGATCTTAGTCATTTTTATTTTGATTACATTCTAAAATGTTAATGTTTTGGATATATTGGATTAAATAAAATATACTACTAAAACGATACCTGTTTCTTTAAATTTTTTTTATGTTGCTACTAGAAATTTTAAAATTACATATTAGGTCACATTCTGTTTCTTAGCATTATTCTGAGCAAATAAAAGTTCACGGAGTTTCCATGGTCTGAGACAAGGAAGAATGTACTTAAAGCAGATGGAAGGAGGGGAGTAGACAGGAGTCATTTTGGACATGTTAAATTTGAGGTGTGTGTTATACATCAAAGAAGAGATGACAAATAGATCATTGGGTATACAAATATAGAGGTTGGGAGAGAGATGTGAGCTGGGGATTTTAATTTGGGAGTTCTCAGCATTTGGATGGGTGTGTATGGGTGGGTATGCACAGAGGCAGACCAAGATCAGAGCCCTGGTGCCCCGCCCCCACATCAAGAGGTCTGAGAGAGGAATCAGCAAAACAGAAAAGAAATGGCTAGCGAAGGAGAAAGAAAACCAGGAGAATGTGGTGTCATAGGAGCCAAGTGAAGAAAGCACCTGAGGAGGAAGAGAGGCCAACTGTGTCATATACTCCTGAGAGGTCTGCTGCTAAGATGTTATAGAGGACTGACCTCTGGAGTTGGCCATGTGTTGGTCATTGCAGACCTCCTCAAGGGCAGTCTTGGAGTGGTGGAAGTGAAAAGCCTGATCAGAGTGGGTTTAAAAGAGAATGGAAGGATGGGCTGGGGTTGTAACTCAGTGGTAGAGTGTTTACCTAGCACATGTGAGGCCCTGGGTTCAATCCTCAGCACCACCTAAAATAAATAAATAAAATAAAGGTATTATATCCATCTTCAACTAAAGATATTTAAAAGAGAGAGACAAAATGGAAGCAGAAGAGTTAAAAACGTGTAGACAACCTTGTTGAGTTTTTCTGCAAAGAAGAGCAGAGAGCTGGAACAACTGTGAGTAATGGAAGTGGAGTTAGGCAAAGGGTTTTTTGTAGGCTGGAATGTTGTGTATAAGTGAATAAGAATGATCTGGTAGAGGAGAAACAAGCCATGCGGAGAGGGAGTCTGGGGCTATGTCTGTGTAAGTGGGAGGAGTAGGATCATGTGCACAGAGGAGGGTCTGGCTCTAGATGGGGCACTTGTGATAGTCACCAAAGGAATAAATGCATGACAATGGGTAAATGTGGACTGGGAGTCTGGAGGCATTCTCATATGATTGCTTCAGTTTCTCAGAATAGGAAACAGATAGTGGTTCTTGACCCTAGCTGTTTCATAGCCTGGGGAACTTTTAAAATCGCAAATGCCAGGGCCCCACTCCAGAGATTCAAATTTAAGTGTCTGTTATGAAGCCCGTACAGATATTTTTAAGATTACCAAGTGACTTTGTGCTATTGAGGTTGAGAACCACTGGAATAATAGAGGACTTCTCTTGGGTGGTTAAGGAAGGCCTTTCTGAGTATATGAGGTGGGAAAAAAAAAAAAAAAAGACCTGAAGGATGAAGAAAAGAAGCTCATGGAAACATGGAAGGAAGTGTGTACTAGGCAGAGGGAGCAGCACATGCAAAGTCTCTGAAGAGGGGAAAATGTAGAAAGCCAGGGCAAGGGCAGTACAAGATGAGGTCAGGGAGCAGACTTGTGTAAGTCCTTGCTGCCTGTGGCAAAGAATTTAGGTTTAGCCTAAGTGCAAATGGGACATTATTGAAGGGTTTAATGTAGGGAGTGAAATGACCTCATTTATAATTTTTAAACGAGAACTAGTGGCTGTAGGAGAATGGATTGTGGGAGTGAAGGCAAGAATGAAAGCAGGTGACCAAATAGGCAATTTACATCACCCCAGTGAGAGTTGGTGGATCCTTTGTCTAGGAAGAGAAAGTCAGGAACATTTTAAGAAAGAACCAATAGGACATGTGCATTAGCTATGGACCTCCATGGTAGGAAGCCATCTATCAGTCTTTCCCCAGCTTTTCACGCCAGTAATACTAATGCAGAGGAGAATAACTAAAATTTTCTTAGTAAAAATTCCAAGTGTGCTTAGGGAAGAAACTCCATGCTAATTTTTTAGGTTCCCAGCTTCCCTATCCCCTGTTTGAAAAATAGATCTAGTACCTGCAAGRTATTCTTGAAAAATAGATCTAGTACCTGCAAGGTATTCTTGAAAAATAGATCTAGTACCTGCAAGGTATTCTACTAGGTGCTATGGGTGGGGATGGAGAACTTAGAAGGAGGGTATCCATGAGTCTAACGTGTGTCCTTCTCTCTTCTGGCCCCCACAAGGCTCAGCAGACAGGATCTGGAGGCGCGGGAAGATGCTGGCTATGCCAGCCTTGAGCTACCTGGGGATTCTGCCCTCTCACTACCCACCCTGGACACAGAGGAGACCAATGATGACCTCATTTCACCCTACGCCAGCTTCTCCTCCACTTCAGACCGCCCCACACCCCTGCTCAGTGGCTGGCTAGACAAGCTCTCGCCTCAGGGGTGGGGCTGCTGGGAAGGGAAGGAGGAGAAGGGGAATAGGGAGGTGTGGGGAGCAAGTCCCAAGTGCTGCCAAACTCTGTGATCCCCCACCCCATGTATCCCCAAACACTCACTGATCTTGGCCTCTCATTCTTTTCTTAGAAACTATGTCTTCCAGAGACGCTTTGTGCAGTTCAACGGGAGAAGTCTGATGTACTTTGGCAGTGACAAGGTGGGGGACCGGAGATGCTATTAAGGAGACAAAAGAGAGGGAGAAGGGAGCCGAGAGGTTCAGGGTTGAAAGCTCATTGTGGGGAGATGGTCACCATCTGCCTGATGACAGCCATTAAGGTAGCGGCTTAGCAGCTATAACCATTGCTTATGGATTGAGTGGTCAGCACTGGGCCTAGGGGTCAGTATACATGGTTCAGTTCCTGTCCCCATGAATCATTGGCTTTCTCTCCAGGACCCTTTTCCCAAGGGTGTGATCCCTCTGACTGCCATTGAGATGACTCGCAGCAGCAAGGACAACAAGTTCCAGGTCATCACTGGACAGAGAGTGTTTGTGTTCCGCACAGAGAGTGAGGGTGAGGGCCAGGGTCTGCTGGGCCAGGATGGGAAGGGGGAGGCTATATGAGCATAACACCCATTGATCTGCTTCCCTGTTCCCCCACCAGCTCAGCGGGACATGTGGTGCTCCACACTGCAATCCTGTCTGAAGGAGCAGCGCCTCTTGGGCCACCCCAGGCCCCCTCACCCACCCCGACCCCTCCGCACTGGCATGCTAGAGCTTCGTGGATACAAGGCCAAGGTGTTTGCTGCCTTGAGCCCTGGAGAGCTGGCATTGTACAAGAGTGAGCAGGTAAAGAGGGCTGTATGGGTGCTCAGGAGCCTGGCCCGACTTGGTCTGGCCACTCACAGTGCCCATCCTCTGGCTCTACCAGTCCTTCTCTCTGGGCATTGGGATCTGCTTCATTGAATTACAAGGATGCAGTGTCCGAGAAACCAAGAATCGAAGCTTTGATCTGCTCACACCCCACCGCTGCTTCAGGTGGGGCCTGAACTGGTGGGAGGCAGGCTAGGGGACTTTTATGGGGAGGCACAAGGGTACAGAGGACTGGGGGCCTCTATAGGACACTAGTGGATATGTACTGATGGAGTCAAGTGGGCAAGATCAAGACGTCAGGAGGGTCTGGGCTGGCCCAGATGTGGCCTGTGGCAGCTCCTACAGGAATGGCCACTGGGATGGGACATGGGGGGAGGTCCATGCCCACGGACTGGCTGTCCACCCCTCAGCTTCACAGCCGAGTCTGGGGGGGCTCGGCAGAGCTGGGCGGCCGCTCTGCAGGAAGCAGTAACCGAGACCCTGTCTGACTACGAGGTGGCTGAGAAGATCTGGTCAAATCGGGCCAACCGGCATTGTGCAGACTGCAGGGCGTCCCGCCCCGACTGGGCTGCTGTCAACCTGGGGGTGGTCATCTGCAAGCAGTGTGCAGGTGAGGGCTGCAGCCTCCAGCCCAGATGGGGAGAGGGAGGAGAGCTGGGGCTGGACTCAGATACCTAAGCCACATGCCCCCCACACCTTAACAGGCCAGCACCGGGCCCTGGGGTCTGGGATCTCCAAGGTACAGAGCCTGAAGCTGGACACAAGTGTGTGGAGTAATGAGATTGTGCAGGTGAGGTCTGCGAAGGGAGTAGTGGGGAGGCATGGAAAGAGAGCATCCAAAAGAAAACACTTGGACCCAGTTTGGGGACAGGCATGGGATATCTGAGAACTCTTTGAGTTCTGGTCACTTGCCTTTGCCTGTTGTCATCTTACAGTTGTTCATTGTTCTGGGAAATGATCGTGCCAACCGCTTCTGGGCAGGGACATTACCCCCAGGTGAGGGGCTACATCCAGATTCAGCCCCTGGCCCTCGGGGAGAGTTCATTTCCCGAAAGTACCGGCTGGGTCTGTTCCGAAAGCCTCACCCTCAGTATCCAGACCATAGCCAGCTTCTGCAGGTAGGAGGGACAGGTTGGGGATGATGGAAGGTGGAGGAAGTAGTGTCTGAGTTGGATTGTTCTGACTTGGGTGGTGGAGGCTGTTTTTGGTGATCAGAGGACTGTCTCTGGGGCTCTCAGGTTGGGTTTGGGGCTGACAGAGGTGTTTTCCTCCTGTAGGCACTGTGTTCAGCTGTAGCAGGACCCAATCTGCTGAAGAACATGACTCAGCTCCTCTGCGTTGAGGCCTCTGATGGGGAGGAGCCCTGGTCCCCCTCAGCCCTTGATGGTGGCTTGTCTGGCCTTCTACCCCCAGGTGATCACCCCACCCCTAGTACCTCCTTTTTCTCTCCCTAGGAATTCTCAGCCCCAACCTGTGATGTGGTTCTTCAGGAGACCCCAATCACCCCATCATCCAGTCAATCACAATGGCAGTTTCCCAACCTCTCAGACCCTCCAGGTCCTGTTTCCTGGGCTCGTGAGATGTCTGATGAGACCTGAGGTCAGGCTCCCCGGTGGGTTGGGATGTGCCAGGTACTAGTGCCAGTCCCCTCCTGACAGAGTCAACCCATAGATCAGGTCTCATCTCCCTGGGGACAGTGATCACTAGAGGAGTGGTCAGCTTAGTGATGCTGATCTCCATTGGTCAGGCCAAATGGGTCAAGATACAGAATGGCCCGTGCTCTGAGGTCCCCACCCAGAGCTGACTGCCTGGTTGACTGGCTGATGGGAAGAGGCAGTGGACATGGCATTGGGCTAGAGGCCTCCCTGTCTCCTTACTCTCTGCCACCTTCTTCAATCTGGGCAGTGAAGAATCCAGCCCTCTCTGTTCCCACTTGGCCATGCTTCCAGTGAAGTTGGGTCTTGTGGTCTTCCCTCGTTGGATCTTTTCCCCAAGGAGGGTCAGGCCATTGCATTGCACTAGTCTGACCTGATCACCCTTTCTTCTTGCAGACCCCTGCCCTGGTGTATACAATGAGGTGGTGGTGCCCGCTACCTATAGCAGCTTTCTGTACTGTGGCCCCATCAGCAACAAGCCTGGGCCTCCTCCCTCTCGCAGGGGCCGTGATGGTGAGATGAGGATGGGAGATGACAGGCACAGAAAGTGGGATAGGCATGAGTGTACCTGAGAAGGAAAGGGAAGACAGAGCTGGGATGGGGAGGTGGAGTGGGCTGGGGTGCTGGAGCTGAAAGACAGCCCATGCCAGGTGGTAGCTCTGGGTGATAGTTAAGAGCCTCTGCTCTGAGTTCTGACTGTCTGGGTCAAATCTCAGCCCTGGTACTTCCTACCTATGTGACTTGGAGAAGCGATTCAAACTGAACCTTAGTTTCCCCATGTGCAAACAGGACTGAATGAAATACCTTATAGGATTATTGTGAAGATTATGTAGGATCATACATAGGCAGAAGCCTTGGCAGAGTATAAATATCTGGTAAATGGAAACTATTGACAATGGGGGCAGAGGTCTGCTGTCCCCTTGACCATTTCTCTCCCACTTAGCTCCTTCCCGCCTGTGGTGTGTACTGGGAGCAGCTTTGGAAATGTTTGCATCTGAAAGCAGTCCTGAACCCCTCAGTCTCATCCAGCCCCAGGATGTTATATGCCTGGGTATCAATCCCCCACCTACTGACCCCGGTGACCTTGAGAGGTAATAGCTTCCTGTGCTCTTCCCAGTCTCCAGCCTGATAGCCATTCCTTGGCCCCCATTCTCCACCCTGACCTCATCATCTCTGCAGGTTTCCCTTTTCCTTTGAGCTCATCCTCACGGGCGGGAGGATCCAGCATTTTGGTACAGATGGAGCTGACAGTCTGGAGGCCTGGACCAGTGCAGTGGGCAAGGTGAGGTAACGGAGACCCCTCCCACACTCACCATTCCCTCATCCCCGCCCTTCCCCCATCCTGTCCGCTTGTATTCCTATAGCCACTCTAGCCACTTCCACTAATAAACAGCTGAAGTTGACTGAGCACTTATACTGTGCCAGGCCCTGTGTTAAACCCTGTCCATTTGATATCTCATTTAATATCCACAGCAACCCTCAGAGGTAAGCACTATTAATATTTTACACATAAAGAAACTACATCTTAGAGGTTATGAAGTCACTTGGTCAAAATTACAGAAGCAGCTGAGCACAGGAAAAAACTTCAAGACTCTGTCTCCAGAGTACATGCCCCAGACTTCACAGTGAAGCTGCCACTGGACTCCTGATGCCCACCCTTTGTTCCCCTTCTCCCGGGTCTCCAGGATCTCAGTGGCAAAGCTACTTTCAGCTTCTCTGCAGGAATTGAACCCAGGGGCGCTTAACCACTAAGGTACATCCCAGCCCTTTTAATGTTTTATTTAGAGACAGTGTCTCACTAAGTTGCTTAGGGCCTCACTAAGTTGATGAGGCTGGCTTTGAACTCATGATCCTCCAGCCTCAGCCTCCCGAGCTGCTGGGATTACAGGTATGTGCTACTGCCAGGCTCAGGGTCTCCATTTCTAGGCAAGGCAGTATCTCCATCCCAGACCTTGTTCCTGGAATTAAAAATTCAGGCCCTAAAGTCAGAGTCAGACATCCTGGGATTGGAGTTCTACAACTCTCAGCCTTGGGAGCTTTTCCTCGTCTGTGACTGCGGAGTGGGTGTAAAAGACTTACCCCCTGGGGATGAGGATTAAGTGACATGTGAGGCCCACACATAGCAAGCTCTCCATATGTGGGTGTTGAAATAATAATGGTGGTGGTGATGATGATGATGATGACGACAATCTCGCCCGTCCTAAAACAGCTTTTCCTTAAGCTCTGCCCCACCTTCAACTTTTCACCCCGGCGCCCTCCTTCCCTTCTTGACAACTTCTCAGAAAGTTGTATGCAGCCTGCAATTCCTCCTTAATCCCTCACCGCTGTGTTCCTCCCCGAAGACTCTCCCAACTGCTACCCTGAAGGTCACCCCTCATGTCCAGAGTCCAGGGGCCGCCTTCTGACCTTCTTAGGTCACCTCTGCAGTGGTTGACATTTCTCAGTAGGAAATTCTCACCTTAGCTTCTGACTCCTGCTTTTCCTGTCCTTTAACTCACACTAACAAACTGTCTCCACAGCCTTTCAGGACTCTGCCGTGACCCTCCTAGCCAGGTTGGTCACCTCTTATATCACCTGTATTTACCAAGTCTATCTTTTTTTTTTTTTTTTTTTTATGTGGTTGGGGATGGAACCCAGTACTAGACAGGTGCTTTACCACGGACCCATGTTCTAGCCCAAGCTCATCCTTTAAGGCAGTGGTGTGAGGACTGTGTCACATGCAAGTCCCCTGTTTGTTTCAGTTCATGACAAGATATGCACAGAACTTGAAAGGAAGCATTTCAAATCTCTTATAGCAGTTTGGCAGAGTAATTTTGTGTGTTTAATCTTATTATACAAGTTTTAAGTTTAAAGGGCTTGTATGTCCTTGTATTTTTTAAAAATTTCACCTTTTTAAAAAAACATTTTTTTTCAGTTGTAGATCGACACAATGCCTTTATTTTATTTTTATGTGGTGCTGAGGATCAAACCCAGTGCCTCCCACATGCCAGGTGAGCACTCTACCACTGAGCTACACCCCCAGCCCAAATTTCAGCTTTTTTAGCAATTCATTTTTGTTGTTTTTAACAAAGGTATTGGATAGTGATGAATTGGAACTATAAAGAAAGGATCCTTTACCAAAGGTAGTATGAGAAGCATTGCGTTGAGGTAGACCTCAAACTTCCTCCATGAAGTCTCCCCCTAGCACCCTAAGGTGGTGGGATTTCCCAGGGTATCACGATCCTTCACTCGGAACATTTTGGCCACCTATTCGTTCTTACCCCCACACCCCAGTTAAGGCCATAAGGCTGCCACATAGGCATCTTCTCTCTGTAGGCTGCAGCAAGTTAAGCTGAATTTCTTTCCTATCTATGTCTTGTCTCCTCTTTGGCTCTCTCCTGTACTCTCTCCCACCATGTTTCCTTCTGCTTTCTCTTCATTCTTTCTCTGCTTTTCTCACCTGCTCACTCTGTTTCTCTCCCCCACCTTCTTCTCTCCTGTCTTCCTGCCTCTGCAGTGGTTCTCCCCGCTGAGCTGTCACCAGCTGCTGGGCCCAGGATTACTGCGGCTGGGCCGCCTGTGGCTGCGGTCCCCCTCCCATACAGCCCTGGCCTCTGGCCTCTGGCTGTCAGGGTTCGGCCTCCTTCGTGGTGACCACCTCTTCCTGTGTCCAGCACCGGGCCCTGGTCCCCCAGCCCCTGAGGACATGGTGCATTTACGGCGGCTGCAGGAGATCAGTGAGCAGGGATGGGAACAGGGCTGAAGGGTGGCTTTGGAGGTAGGTGGGAGTGGACATTTTAAATTTTGGAATCCTATGGGAAACAGTAGAATGTCATAACGTTAGGCATAAACTCTGAAGTGAAACTGCCCAGATTTAGACCCTACCTTACCACTATGTACCAGTGGACAAGTTACTTAACTTCTCCATGATTTTATTTTCTCATCTTTAAAATGGGCACAATAATAAGGCCTTCCTCAGAGGGTTCCAATGAGGCAATGCATGTAAGCACTTATCACAGAGTCTGATTGGAGGCAACTTACAAGTACTCAAGAAGTGTTGTTGTTGATGTTATTATTATTTGGAATCACTTGCTGGTTGGGAACTGGGAGAGGGAACTGAGTACCCTCACTACTGTCCTTCCTTCTAAAGTAGGAACAGAGTAGGACAATATTTTAGGCTTTGGAGATAAGAGACCTGGGTTTGAGCTCAGCTTTACCATTTTATAGCAAGTAATTTGAGGCAAATTGCTTAACTGCTCTGTGCTGTAATATAACAACTGTAGCATGACAATATAGTATGTAACTCATGGGATTTAGTGGAGTATAGTTTGTAAGGTTCCTAGCCTGGTGCCTATATATCTGAAGTACTTAATAATTATCACTATGCTGAAAACTATGATGATAATGATTCTCCTTGTAGGTGTGGTCTCTGCAGCGGATACCCCAGACAAAAAGGAGCATTTGGTCCTGGTGGAGACAGGAAGGTAAATGTTCCTCCTGCTTTTGATTGTGTCCCCTGCTTGACTCTCTGGAGCCCAGCCCACTGAATCCACCATAGCCTACTGGACCTCTGCCAGCTTCTTCAAAGTTGCTTCCCCAGTTCAGGGACCATCTAGGTTGAGTGTTGCTGCCCTCTGCTGGTATCTGGGAAGTCAGGTCCCTGTGCTTCTGAGCCTCTCAGTCAGAGGACTCTAGAGCTGGCTCTAACTCAGACTTCTTGGGTCTCAGGACCCTCTATCTGCAGGGGGAAGGCCGGCTGGACTTCTCAGCATGGAATGCAGCCATTGGGGGCGCTGCTGGTGGAGGTGGCACAGGGCTGCAGGAGCAGCAGATGAGCCGGAGTGACATTCCCATCATTGTGGATGCCTGCATCAGTTTTGTCACCCAGCATGGTAAGTGGGCACTGGTTGAACCTGAGCCAGTGGGTGGGGCGGGGGGGGCGGTAGGCAGAGAACAGCCACAGAGTTGGGGATCACCTGAAAGAGCTTTGCCTCCAAATATTGCAACCTGGCACCAATGGGCCGCATGACTCTTGGCTGGCTGCTTTGCTTTTCTGAGTCTTAGTTCCCTCATTTGTAACACAGAAGTAGCAGCCCTGCTTTTCCAGGATAGTATGACAGTGGGATGATGCACATCAAGCATGGAGTGCAGGGCCTGGCAGGTAGTAAGTGTTCGGAGGTGGGGCGTGGGCAGGGGGGTAAGAGCAGCCCTGGAAATGGGACCGAGAATGTAGAACCGTGGGGAACAGAGAGGGGCAGTCATGAGGCTGTGCAGGCAGCAAAATCCCTGAAGGTCTCAGCAGAATTATTCTGGGTGAAAGATTTTCTAGGCAAAAAATGCCAGCTATACCTAGTGCTCTCTGGAACTCTTTGTGAGTTTTGGGCCTCTGTTTTGTTCTCCAGCTGAAGCAAGGATCAAATAGAATCTATCTCTCCTATCTCTTTAGGAGAGAGGAATTTTGAGAAGAAAATCTCACAGAAAAGTAAGGAAGGTACAAAGCCCTGGATTCAATCCCCAGCATCAAAAAATAAGATAAATAAAATATAAGAAAGGGCAGTAAAGGAAAACAAGAAAAAGAAAAGGCACCTCTAGGATCCTAAAAAGAGTTGTACTTACCAGTCACGAACAATGGATAGTCAGTGGCTGATGACATTCTCCATACCTGGGCAGTAGGAGTAGGAGTTCAGTGGCTTCCCCAATGCAATCTGGCTAGACCCCCATCCTCTTCTCAGACTCCTTGTATTCAAAGAAGGAATTCTGTCTGAGTCACTGTGAGAAGACCTCAGAGAAGGTGTGTGGTCACACCCTCCCCTTCAGGGTTCCTGCACCACTGTGTTCTTTCCATAGTGTTTGTTGAGCTGTAATGTGCCACATGATGGGGATATGGCAGTGGACAGGGAAGACCCTAGCAAGTTCCTAGACTAATAGGACAGACAAGTAATAAGAAAACAAATATATCAGGTGTGGTGGAGCATGCCTATAGCCACAGCAATTCAGGAGGCTGCAGTAGGAGGATTCTAAGTTTCAAGACCACTCTCACATCTTAGCAAGAATTTCAGCAACTTAGTGAGACCCTGTCTCAAAATAAAAAAATAAAAAATAAAAGGACTGGGGATGGGGCTCAGTGGTAAAGCACCCCTAGGTTCAATCCCCATTACCAAAAAGAAAGAAGGTAAACAAATATAATCAGTTCTCATTTGCAGTTATGTTCTATAAGGCCACTGCAAACACTTAGTGTAGTACTGAATTATTGCCCCAAGGGAGGTATAGGTTTAGGTTCCTCTGAACTTCCGGTCTCAACATTTTCATCAACCAATCAATTGAAACCTTGTTCTATGTGTTTTTTTGTTTAAAGATACCTTATTTAATACATCTGGTTGATTTATTAACACTGAACTTGAGGCCGACAGCAGCATAACTCATACCTGAATGAAGTTTATCTAATACACATGAATGTTTCCTGTAAGGCACATCACAGCATTCTTTCTTTGAAACACTAGACAGCATTTCAGCATTATACTTGAGGCCATTTTAACAATGAAATCACTAACAAAAAGCACGAAAAATGTGAAAAATGTGACTCTGAATAAACCATGAAAAGAACATTTGTTTATAGTCTGAGACCTTAGCTAGGAACATGTGCATTGACAGGGTTTGAATTTCCACTTGGAATGCATTCATAAATGACCATAAAAACACCAGAAGTATGGGTGACCCTCCGTATCTGTGGATTCTGCATCAATGTACACAACCGACTAAAGATAAAATAATTGGGGAAAACAAACTGAATCTGTACTGAATGTGTAAACTTTTTTTCCTTGTCATTTTTCTGTAGGATAGATAGCATAACAGTTATTTACATAGCATTTTCATATTAGGTGTTGTAAGTAATCTAGAAATGATTTCATGTGTACAGGTTGATGTGTATAAATTATATGCAAATACTACACCATTTTATATAGAAGACTTGAGCATCCGTAGATTTTTTTGAATAGTGCTGGAGATTGAACTCAGGGCCTTGTTTATGCAAGGCAAGCACTTGACCAATTGAGCTATATCCCCAGCCCAAGCATCTGTGGATTTTGTGGGGGATGCTGGAATCAATCCTCCATGGATACAGAGGGGCAACTTACTGATTTTAGGGTTACAAATGAATTTTAGTGAGGAGAGAAATGCTCAAATACAGAATCTAAGGATAATGCAGATTAACTATAATGTGATTTCAGAGTACTATTTAAAAATAAAAGTGGTGAGAGAAAGAGAGTGATGGGGATGAGCCTGATTGCCAAGGTCAGGGAAGGATTTTCTGAGGATAAAGACTTGAGTAGGAAGCTGAGAATCCAGACCACAGATGCACAGATTTCCTCCTCCTTGACCCCTCCCAACCCCAACAATCTCATAACATGTAGTGGGGCACAGATGGGATGCTGGGTGGGTGGTGGCATGTCTTTGCACATGACGAATCTGCTGACTGTTTTCAGGGCTCAGGCTGGAAGGTGTATATAGGAAAGGGGGTGCTCGGGCCCGCAGCCTGCGCCTCCTGGCCGAGTTCCGGAGGGATGCCCGGTCAGTGAAGCTCCGACCAGGGGAACATTTCGTGGAGGATGTCACGGATACACTCAAACGCTTCTTTCGCGAGCTTGATGACCCTGTGACCTCTGCTAGATTGCTGCCTCGCTGGAGGGAAGCTGCTGGTACTACCAAGATCCCTAAGAGCAAAGACTCCACCAGGATCTCCAACCTCCCCCATCAGAATCCATGAGACTCTCTGGTGGGATGGGGCAGCCGGCCCCACAACACTCCCCACTGGAGGGTCATCCAGAAGATTTGGCTCAGGGGAGGTCGTTTGGGTTTGTCTCCATAAAATCTCCCTACACTCTAGCCTCTAATCTCTCTTCCTAAATCCTATCCAACCCTCCTCCATTCCATCCCCAGAACTGCCTCAGAAGAATCAGCGCTTGGAGAAATACAAAGAAGTGATTGGCTGTTTGCCTCGGGTCAACCGCCGCACACTGGCCACCCTCATTGGACATCTCTATCGGTCAGTATGGCCAGGCCTTCTGCAGGATCCCTCCCTCAACCCAACTAACCTCAACCCAACTCTGCAATTTCATTTATTAACTCATTTGACAAACAGTTGTTAAGGGAAGGTGTTGGAGCATTAAGGTTCAAAGAATGAATTTGGGGTCAGGCAGACATAGGCTTTATCTGGCTCCTATCCTTCTAGCTGTGTGACTTTGGGTGAATTATTTGTTCTCTCTGAGCTTCAGTTTCCTCATTTCTGTAAAGAAGATGATTTAATGACTAGTATCCATCTCATAGGCTATGTGAGAGTTAAATGAGATAGTTCATGTGAAATTCTTAGTATAGTTTTTGGTATATAGTAAGCTTTTAGAAATGGATAGCAATTAATATTATTTTGTTTTATTAATCAAAATCAGATAGATATAAAAATTACAGAGATGAATAAGATATAGATCTACCTTTACCATCTGTTGTGGGGTGAATCCCTGGCTATGTTGTACTGAGGGTTATTCAGCATTGAATAGATTGGCCAACTACAGGTCCATTGCCAAAATCCAGCCCATTGCCTGACTTTCTAAATAAAGTTTTGTATGTTAAGCATAAAACCACACCCATTCATTTATATATTTTCTATGGCTTTCTTTGCACTACAACAGCAGAGTTTTGAGGAGTTACAACAGAGACTTATGGCTTAAAAGCCTAAAATATGTACTGTCTGCTCTTTACATAAAGTGTCTGTTGCCAGGTACAGTGGCACACTTCTGTAATCCCAGCAATTCAGGAGGCTGAGGCAGGAGGATCACACATTTAAGGTCAGCCTTGGCAACTTAGCAAGACCTGTCTCAAAATAAAAAGGACTAGGGATATAACTCAGTAGTAAAGTGCCCTGGGTTCAATCATCCATGCTTTAACTGTCTCTCCCCAGACTGTGAGCTCCTTGAGGCCAGTAACTGCTATATCTCTAGAGCTTAGGCCAAGGTCTAGCATAGAATAGGGCTCAATGTTTGCCCAATGAATAGATGAATTGGTGAAGGGGTGCACGAGCTGTGTTCCTCATGACCTTGGCACTCCTCTGCAGGGTGCAGAAGTGTGCAGCTCTAAACCAGATGTGCACGCGGAACCTGGCCCTGCTGTTTGCACCTAGTGTGTTCCAGACAGATGGTCGGGGTGAACACGAGGTGCGGGTGCTGCAGGAGCTCATCGATGGCTACATCTCTGTCTTTGATGTAAGGCTTCCTGATCTCTGTCCTACAAGCTTTCTCCCTTGCCTCTACAGGACCAAAGACTCCATCCTGCCCACCTCAACAAACCCTATCCCAGCTTTCTGGTGCCCCTCCGCCTTGTGAATCACCTCCCAGAGCTCTGTGCCTCTTTCTCCCATAATATTCTCAACATCCCCACCCCATTGGTTCTTGGCTCCTTAGGCCTTCAACCTTCTTATTCAGGTCCCCCTTGGCCTTGGCCTTGGGGTTTGCCTTGCTTTTYTCCTTTCCCAGCATCCCCCACACTAAAGTTTTGGTTCTTTTACAGATTGATTCTGACCAGGTAGCTCAGATTGACTTGGAGGTCAGTCTTATCACCACCTGGAAGGATGTGCAGGTAACTTGCCCTGACCTTAGACAACTAAGTGGGGCAGAAGGGGACATCAAGATAGGAAGGTGACCTACCCAGTTGAGGAAGTTTCCTTTTAGCCTGTTCTTCTGCACACAGGCCCTCAGTTCTTTGGAAAACCCAAAGAGGGGAGTACTTTGGACAGTAGATTTGCTTAGGGTTTGCTCCACTTATCACACCATGAGGATTCTTGGTGGAATGTTAGCAGCAGTACCTTACTTCTAAATGTAGATCCAAGGAAGAGTTCGTAAAGTCAAAAAGTCAGACTAAGTAGTGAGAATAATAAACACATAGTAAACAACAGTTAAGAATTTTTATATTCCAAGTACTTTTAATTTCATTGTAGCATCACACAACTCTATGAAGTAGGTAGTCTCATTCTTCCAAGTAAAGAACTCATGCACAACAATAGGTGTGGTGGCACATGTCTGTAATCCCAGTCTCTCAGAAGGCTGAGCAGGAGGGTGCACCGGGTTCAATCCCCAATATTGCAGATAGATAGATGGATAGATTTAAAAAAGAAGAAGAATTGAGTCTCAGAGAGGTACTTGGTACTTGTTCAAGGTCACACTGTAGTGAGCAGCAGAGCTGGAATGCAGGCAGTCTGATTCCTCTCAACCACTGTGCAACATTGCCTTCAGTAGCATTGTATACAGCTAAAAATGTGGTTTCCCAACTCCTTTTGGGGGAGGTTTGGGGGACCTGGGATGAAATCCAGAAGCTCTTAACCACTAAGCTACATCCCCAGCCTTTTATTTTATCTTTTTGTATTTTGTTTAGAGACAGGGTTCCACTGAGTTGCTTAGGGCCTTGCTAAGTTGCTGAGGCTAGCTTTGAACTCAGCCTCCTAAGCTGCTAGGATTGCAGGTGTGGGCCACTGCACCCAGATTTCCCACTTCTTTTAAGGGCCCGAGCAACACTGGGTGTTAGGGTTGAGGAACCTCTGTGGGAGGAGGTGAATATGAGGCAACATGAGGAATTTTCTGACTTTGGTGTTTTTGCACCCTCTCGCCTCCTCCTGACCTATCGTGTTTTCCTTTACCCCTCCCCTCAGCTGTCCCAGGCAGGAGACCTCATCATGGAGGTTTATATAGAGCAGCAGCTCCCAGACAACTGTGTCACCCTGAAGGTCAGTCCTGAAGGGAATGGGTGGGAGATGAGAGGATGGTGGTAAGCAAGGGCAACAGCTTTATCAGTATGCTTTCTCTGTTCTTGCCTGGATCCTAGGTGTCCCCAACACTGACTGCTGAGGAGCTGACTAATCAGGTACTGGAGATGCGAGGGACAGCAGTAGGGACAGACTTGTGGGTGACATTTGAGATTCTCGAGCATGGAGAGCTTGGTGAGTATGACTGCGTGTGTGTGTGTGTGTGTGTGTGTGTGTGTGTGTGTGTGGGTGTGTGTGTGTATGTGTGTGTGAGTGTGGGCACGGGCATGTGTGATCATGTGGTTAAGGTCATTAATGACTTCTGTGTTACCAAATACAACAGACACTGTACTCATCTGCTCACTCTGTGAGAAGACGTTTAACACAGTTGACCCACTCCCTCTTTCTCAGTACTTGTCTCTTGCTTTAGTGAACTCCACAAGCTCTTGATTTCCCTTCTACCTCAAAGGAGGCTTCTCTTCCCCCTTTTTTCCTAGACTACAAGTGTTAGAAGGACACAAAGCTGGACCCTGGGCTCTTTCTTCTTTTCTATCTACATCTCTCTTTGGATAAACTCCCATGGCTTTACATGCCATTAATAAGCTGATTTTTATCTCTGGCCCAGACCTCTCTTCTGACCCCCGACTCACATATCCAATGGCCTACTTGACACTTCCACTTCTTGCAAGCATATCAAATTTAAATTGTCTAATACTGAACTAGATTCATAGCTCCCTCCCCTAACAAAAAGTTCAAGCTATTTTCTGTTTTTTTTCCCCCAACTCAGTAGGTAGCACCACAGTTCACCCAGTTATTAAGGCCAGAAACCCAGGAATCCTCTGAGACTCTTCTCTTTCCTTCATCTTCACATGCAGCCCACCAAATAGTCCTGTAGGTTCCATTTGAATCAGTCACTTCTCTCCATCTTCACCATCCTAGTTGTAATCACCATTATTTTTCTGCCTCCCATATTAATCACTAAAATGTATGGCCCCAGAAAGGGAGTAGCTAGACAGGGTTCCGTTCTTACCTACAATCCATTTTCTGCACAGCAGCCAAATGAGCAATTCAAGCATAAATCAGATTATGTCATTCTCCTGATGAAACCTTCCAATGGTTTCTCACTGAACTAAAATAAAATTCAAAGTCCTTATCATGACCCACAGCCCTGAATGTCTGTCCCCTGCTTATTTACCAGACTTCATCTCACATTACCATCCTCTTATCTGTCCTCTTTGCTGTTTAGTTCCCCAAATATATATTTCCTGACTGAGGGCCCTTGTTCTTACGACATGGTCTTAGCATGGTTTGTTCTTCCCAATCCTTCAGCTCGCTCATTTTCAAATGCAACTCCTGAAAGGCCTTGTCTGACTACCCTATCTCCATCGCTTCCCTGTGAACCCTCCCTCAGCTTATTCTTTCAAAGCATTTTTTGTTCTGCAATTATTTGGCTTGCCTACCTGTTTATTACTAGGCTGTGGCTTTGTGAGGGCAGGCATGTGTAGCATGCTCACAGCTGTATCCCAGGGCCAGCACAGTGCCTGGCAAGGTATTGAGGCTAAAACCCATGTCTGTAGCTGAAGAGTTGAATAGGTGAATGAATGAATGACTGGTGGGAGATGAGTTGAGGGTTCTAGGCTTTGGATGGATATTCCGATTAATACCTGTCGCCCCTATGCTCCTTCAGAGAGGCCACTGCACCCCAAGGAAAAGGTCCTAGAGCAGGCCCTGCAATGGTGCCAGCTCCCAGAACCCTGCTCAGCCTCCCTGCTCCTAAGAAAAGTCCCCCTGGCCCAGGCTGGCTGCCTCTTCACGGGTGAGCCTCCTTCCTCAACTCTTCCTCAACCCAGCATTCTCTAGGTCTCTTCCCCAGAACTGTCCACTCAGCATAGCCCATCTGTGCCCAGGTGTCCGGCGTGAGACCCCCCGGGTAGGGCTGTTGCGGTGTCGTGAGGAGCCACCCCGTTTACTGGGAAGTCGCTTCCAGGAAAGGTTCTTTCTGCTGCGTGGCCRCTGCTTGCTACTGCTCAAGGAGAAGAAGGTGAGGCCTGGGACTAGAGGGGTGGGATGCTGAGTGGCCATGTAGCCAGAGCCGAAACTATACTAATTCTCTAATTCTTCAGCCCCTTTTCTCACCAGACTCTTTTGCTTCCCCAATGACTTCTCTGACCCTGTGATCACATGCCCCAATGTTTCTATGACCTCTTGACCTCACTAATCATGACCTTCTCCTCATGTCTCAACTTTACTCACTCTGTTCATATTCTCAGAGCTCTAAACCAGAACGGGAGTGGCCTCTAGAAGGTGCCAAGGTCTACCTGGGAATCCGTAAGAAGTTAAAGCCTCCAACACTGTGAGTTTTCTTCCCCAGCCCACACTTCTAAGGCCTTACTGCCATCACCCCGCTGGCTTTAATGGTCACCCAATCACTGGTCTCCTTTGCCTCCCAGGTGGGGCTTCACATTGATACTGGAGAAGATGCACCTGTGAGTACCTCCTGGCCTGGCTTCTCCTCTGGCCCAGCCCTGCATCCTGTCCCCTTTCCTCCTCCTTTCCTTCCACCATTCCTCCATACCTATAGCTATGAATCTTTCTCTCTTCTAAAATCCACTCTAATCACCCACAGTTACTTGGCCTGCACTGATGAGGATGAGATGTGGGATTGGACCACAAGCATCCTTAAAGCCCAGGTGAGGGGAAGGAAAAGGCTGAGGGCTGGTTCTGTGTCCCCTGGACCCCCTAATACCTCGCAGTACCTCCCAAGTCCACCAGTGTCAACTGCTCATCCTCTCACCAGCATGATGACCAGCAGCCAGTGGTCTTACGACGCCGTTCCTCTTCTGACCTTGCCCGTCAGAAGTTTGGCACTATGCCCTTGCTGCCCATCCGTGGGGATGACAGTGGTGCCACCCTCCTCTCTGCCAATCAAACTCTGGTGAGACTGCCTCCTCCATCCTGCCTAACCCCCACCTGATCCCTGCCCTTACCCTTGTCACACCGCAGGAAAAGGGGTGTGCCTGCCAGCCCAGTGCCCCTCTCTGCTCACTGTGATCATCTACTCTATCTTCTCTGTGCCCCTACTCCCCACTTCCACCTCCTGTTGCCAGGCCTCACTGTGTCTCTGTGTCTCTCCCTCCCCTCCCCCCCCCCCCCACCTGTGCCCAGAGGCGACTACACAACCGGAGGACCCTGTCCATGTTCTTTGTGAGTACTGTGCCTGCTCCAGCTATGTGCCTGCCAGCCCTGTGTTTCTCTGTGTTACTGGAGCCCTGGGTGTTCTATGTGTCTGATGGGATGCAGGTTATCAGGGTATGTGTGGGTGTGGCAGAGAGCCAGCAAGCCAGCATGAACAAGGAAAATGAGGGATGGTAAGATGTCATGAGGAAAGGAGAAGTCATAGAATCTGAGAACTAGAAGGAGAGTGGTTAAGTGAATGCACTTTGGAGACAGACCTGAATTCAAGCCCCACCTCTAGCATTTCTTCACTGTGTGATTCTGGGCAACTTAACCCCTCTACAGCTCAGTTCACTCTTTTGCTGTGTAAGCCACTGCACAAGGTTGTTCTGAAATCATAAATATCAAGTATTTAGCAACATCTGGCCCCAAGGGCTCAATAATGTTACTGATTAATAATCCAACAACACAGCTGAGTGTGGTAGCTCATGCCTGTGATCCCAACCACCCAGGAAGCTAAGGCAGGAGGATTACAAGTTCAAGGCTAGCCTAGGAAGACCATGTCTCAAAATAAAAATAAAAAGGGTTGGGGGTGTGGCTCAGTGGTAGAGCACTTGGGAGTACACTCAAGGCCCTGAATTCAATTCCCAGTAACACACACACACACACACACACACACACACACACACACACATCTAGTAACTCTAACTCTGTGCCTTCTCCCTGCTGCTCCATTCCCATATAGCCAATGAAGTCATCCACAGGGTCTGTGGAAGAGCAAGAAGAGCTAGAGGAGCCTGTGTATGAGGAGCCAGTGTACGAGGAGGTAGGGGACTTCCCTGAGCTCACTAAGGATACTTCTACTTCTTTCTCTACCACACGGGAGTGGACAGCCAAGCCAGAGACCCCCTTCACCAGCCAGAAGTCCTTTGATCAACCCCTTCTTTCCAAGACAAGCACCCTGAGCCAAGAGGAGAGGCCACCGGATCCCCCTCCAGGGCCCCCATCCAAGAGCAGTCCCCAGGCACGGGGATCCCTGGAGGAGCAGCTGCTTCAGGAGCTCAGCAGCCTCATCCTGAGGAAGGGAGAGACCACTGCATGCCCAGGAAGCACTTCCCAATCACCCAGCCCCCAATCACTCAGCCCCACTAGCCTTGCAATACAGATATCCAGCTTCCCCACCCAGTCCTCCTGCACTTCCAGTTCACCCTCCAGCCAGCCCCTCACATGATCCTTGGAACAGCATCTGAGGGGATAGGTACCCAGTGGAGGACCTAGGCTCTTACCTTGGTAGATACTTCTGGGAACTTTCTCTACTCTGGATGGAAAGACTCTAGAACCCAGTGCACTGGATGAGGCACTGGAATGGAGGGCCCTAGAGAACGTGTGTCTCAGGGAAGATCAAGGCCCCATCCTGGGCCTCAGCCTGTTTATCTGTACCATGAAGTTACTGAAATAAGGAGAACAGTAAACAACAAACTGTTGTTTGGAGCTATAAGCTCCATGTATTTTTCCTCAACAAGGGTAGCTCCTGCTTTATATATTTGATAGGTAGAGGTTCTGTGAGAGATTTGGGATAAAAGAATGGTTTTAGTGCATTAAAGAAAAAAACAGGTTTGGAAGCCAGAGGCCTGGATGATGTCCAAGTCTATTCTATTCCACTTCCTACATTCTGGGACTACTCTGAAGCTCTGGAGTGGGGAAATTGATTGGGGTTGGGAGCTGGGGCAAAGGGGAGCCAAGAAAGGATGGGTCACTATTAATAAATCTTGGAACCAAATGGCTAAAAGAATGATCTTTTATTCATTCATTCAACAACTATGTATTGAGCACCTAGTTGGTTCCAGGTCTGGGAATATAGTATGGACAAAACAAATAGGGTCCCTGCTCTTATGAAGCCTCCACTGTAGAGGGAAAACAGAAAGTGCACAAACAAATATGTGGACATGTGAGTTTAGTTCTGTGAAGAAAATAAACCAAATGAAGACCTTGAGAGAGAGTGTGAAGGTAGCCTTTACACTGGGTGGATGGGGAATGAAGGCCTCTGTGAGGAGCTGAAACAATGGTAAGAGGCCAGATAAGTGGAGTGCTGCAAGAAGGAGCTTTGGAGAGGGCAAACAGCACTTTCAGTGAGCAGAGACATGACCTGGTGTGAAGGACAGCAAGGATGCTGGAGGACAGTGAGTGGGTAGCAGGAAGAGAATGTCAGCGGAAGTGGGAAAAATGAACAGGGGCCCAATCATTATAGCCTTGTAGGCCATGGATTCTATTTGGATTTCAAGCATTTGGATTTTGTTTTGAAGCAACTGTGTTTTAAGCAAGAAAAGGATGAGATTTTCTCTCTCCACTTTAGGGAAAAAAAAGTCAACCACTGGCTACTGTATGAACAGTGGGTTATATGAGAAAGCTTGTAAGCAAGGAGGCCAGGTATTAGTCCAGAAAATGGAGTAGGATGGTGGCCTTGGAGGGATGTGGATCAATAGGACTGTGGGATTTTTTGTTTTTGTTTTTAAATAGAAATTATAGGACTTGCTGATGGATGTGGGGGTAGGAGAAAGAGCACACTGACTCCCAGTTTTTTACTTTCCTAACTGGAAGGAGTGTGGCACCATTGAATACATGGGGAAGGATCAGGTTGAAGGGGCATTTAAAAAAACTTGTGGTACCTTGAATACATGGGGAAGGATCAGGTTGAAGGGGCATTTAAAAAAACTTGTGTTACCTTTTTGATACTAGGGAAAGTGTTAGTGACAGCTGGATATGTGAGTCTGAAGTTTTGAGCCACGTCAGTGGAGTGGGGACCAGGACGTGGGCCAAGGGGGCTTAGGTGTGAGGAGAATGAAGAAAGGGGATAARGATCCTCAAAAAGCAGTGCTAGGGCTGGTAGATCTTGGGCAGAGTCTGGAGAAGGAAGACCCTAAAGGTGACAAGGGCTTTCTGGACCATAAGGCCCCACGTGCATCTCCCAAACTCACGTCCCTTCCTTAGTATCTGTCGGTATCCAGTGGGGCCCAGGATGTACCAGCCTTTTCCTTTGGGTCTGTTTCATTCTTGACTCCAGGCATCTTTCTCACCCTGCTCTCGCTGGCTTTTCCAGTTTAGCGGGAATTAGGAAAAGGTCTGGGACCAGCCCTGTCTCCCTTCGTCAGACATATCTTCGCTCAGGTGTTCAATGACTCAGTTTCCCTGGTCACCTATTGAGTTCCTCGCCACTCCTCACCCTTACCACGGGGACTGGTGATATGCGTATGTAAATGAATGACTAGAAATAATTACAGGCTGAATCAGTGGCTACACTTGAAATAAAACCCAGGCGTCTTGACTCAGAAACCCGGGGTTCTCCCTACAGCACAGCGGACGCAGCGTCAGCCCCGCGGCCCGGACCCTTCCGGAGTATTCGCAGCAACAACAGAGGTTCAGCGACTCCGCGGCCCCCACGAGCTTCCGTGCTCTGCGCGCAGCCGGACAAGGCGTAGGCGGAGCGAGGGCGGAGCTGGGCCAGATCTGGGGCGGGGCCTCGCCGTGGGCGGGTCTTTGTCGAGTTCCGGAGTCGAGTCGCTGGCTGTCTTAACCAGAGTGGAGATGCAGCCGCCGCCCCGAAAAGTGAGATTGGCCTGGGAATGGGGACTTTTGGCGGTCTGGGGGAGCGGAGGGAGTCCCGGGGATAACTGACCCCGGGTAGAAGACCGGGAGTGGGAAGGGGTCAGAACCCAGCCCAGAAGTAACCAAGGAAACAGCTCAGCCCCCTCCCCGGCCCCGCCCCCTCGCCGCTCCCTGTGCGAAGTGTTTTTTAGGTCCCCACCCCTGGGGTCTTCAACTTCCCCTCAATCCTACAGGTTAAGCCCGCCCAGGAGGTGAAGCTTCGCTTTCTGGAGCAACTGAGCATCCTTCAGACCCGGCAGCAGAAGGAGGCCGATCTGCTGGAGGACATCAGGTAGCCCCTGACCCCTCTTTTTTACTCACCCCTACCTTTGCTACAGCACGTACCTCTCCTCYCCCAACATACTTTTGCCGGGTCGGGGAGAGGGGCAGGGACTAAGAGCTCTCCAACCTACCCATTCAGGGCCCTCAACCTAGGCCTGCCTCTCCAGATACAAGAGATAAACAGGGACCCTCCTTCAAACCCTTTGACACCACATCACTCACTCTACCCATGGCCTACAATCAAGCTTAGGGCAGAAACCCCTCCCTCTTCCAAACCTGTTGGAAAGCTGGCAAACACCATACCCAGGCCCTTGTCAGTCCTCTTCTCCAAGCCCACAGATGGTTCTCCAGGGGTGGGAAGATCCTGGGGCTCTGAGCAATGAGGCTGCCTGTGTTGCAGCTGCCCGAGGTGATCTCAAGGACTCTGTCTCTTCCGTCTTATTCCCTCTGGGTCTAGCCACATTATGGGATGGCTCCCCTTTTTCTCTTGCTCAGGCAGAGGAGAGGATTGAGGGTGGTAAAACAGGAGGAAACAATCCCCTTTACCCCACCCCCAATCTCCACAGATCTTACAGCAAGCAGAGGGCAGCCATTGAACGGGAGTATGGGCAGGTATGGGACTCTTCCTTGGACTTTCCCTCTTGTTTTAGCCTCCTTTACACCACCAGCAATGTCCCTCCCTTACTGTGCTCAAGAAGAAATGCCTAGAGTCAGGAAGACTTGTATCAAATCTCTGAGGTGCTACTTACTAGTTGTGTGAACTTGGACAAGTTATTTTATATTTCTTGGCCTCAGTTTTCTTCTCTGTAAAATGGGGATAACAATAATACCTTACCTTTGGGTAGGGTTGTTGTAAGGATTAAATAAGGTAATAAATGTAAGGCAGTTGGCAAAGCAAGTGACRCATATTGTGTATCCAAGAATGGTATTATTATACTCTGGTTCTGTATTCTCCCAGTTGGGGTGGGTCTTCAAAAAAACTGGGCCTGTGATGGCTTTCTCACCAGGCACTCCAGAAACTGGCTGGGCCATTCCTGAAGAGGGAAGGGCAACGCAGTGGGGACATGGACAGCAGGTGGGTCTAATGGTGGGGGAAGGCTGCAGGGACCAAAAAGTGATGGGGAGCTTAGCCTTAGAGACCTGTGGGGATGAAGGCCTAGTGAGGGSGGAGGGCACGTGAGCTGCAGGTAGAGCTGACACAGCAGCAGGAGAGGAGCTGACCCAGCAAGGACACTGTGGGTGGGGGCGGAGGGCAGGAGTGATCCTGTGGTTGAGCTAATGGGCTGATCGATTGATGGGCTCCCAGACAAGTGGGGGAAGGAAAACACTCTTGTGTCTCATGGTGTTGGTGGGGGGTCTGATGAAGCTGTGGAGTGCTCCCCTCTTCAACACAGACCTTCTCTGGGGAGGGGCAGGACAGTGTTTGGTGCCTGGCGCTGCTTGCTGGATGCCACCGTGGCTGGGGGCCAAACCCGGCTCCAGGCGTCTGATCGATACCGTGACCTAGCGGGGGGCACAGGGCGGAGTGCCAAGGAGCAGGTGCTTAGGAAGGTATGGCTCAGTGGATGGGGTGAAGGAAGAGCTGGCTCGGCATTGGAGGTAGTCTGGGTCAAGATTTTCTGTGTCCATGCCACTAGGGAACAGAGAGTCTGCAGAGGGTGCAGGCAGAGGTGCTGCAGTCTGTCCGGGAACTGAGCCGAAGTCGGAAGCTGTATGGGCAACGGGAGCGTGTATGGGCTTTGGCACAGGAGAAAGCAGCTGATGTCCAGGCCAGGTGGGCTCATGAACAGTTAGTAGGCCAAAAGTTGGGGTATGGGGAGGTATGGGGTAGAGTCAAGGCATCAAAGCTGGGTCTGATACCTATTCCTGTTCCATACTTGCGCAGGCTGAACCGAAGTGACCATGGGATCTTCCACTCTCGGACCAGTCTCCAGAAACTAAGTTCTAAGGTCTGGGGGATGAGGACCTGAGTGGGGGCAGAGGGACCTAGTGGTTTGGAATCCAGTGTCATAAGCATAAGAGCCTGGTGGGATCCAGGCTCCTCTACTTCTTAGGTGGTTGACCAAGATTCATTTACTTATTTCTCTGAGCCTTATTTTCTTCATCTGCACAATRGGAATAATCCCTTCTTTTTGACTCCTTTAATATGAGTTTATTGAGGACTTCTGTGCACTAGGCACTGTTCTACCCTCTAGGGATACAGTAAGGAACATGACCATGGAGTTCCTGTCCTCACAGCCTGGTCGAGGGAGACACAGTATATAAACAAATAATCAGATGAAGATGGAAATAAAACAAGTTGCTCTGATGAAGGGTAAAAACGGGTGAGATTTAGAGAGAAGTCCTCTTTGAACAAGTGGCCCGAGTGTCAAGAAGGGGCCAGCCATGAAAGATCTAGAGGGAGAACATTTCAGAGAGAGGGAATGGTGAATGGAAAGGTCCTGATGTGTGCTCAAGGAACTGAGAGAAGACTAATGTGCCTGGAGCCCTGTAAGGGGACAGCAGTTAAAAAGAGGTCAGAGAGGTTTCAGGGCCAACTCATGTTAGTCTACTACCCTACAGTAGATCACTATAGGGAAGTTTGGATTTTATTTTAGATGTATGTAGAAACCATTACGGATTTTGAGCAGGAGTTGTATGTGAAATTTTTAGTATAGTACCAGGCAAACAGTATATCTTCAATAATGTAAGAATTCATTCTGGATCTGGGTTCTAGGTTGGCCTTGGATCCAGGGCTCTCTGTTGACACAAATTTTCCCCTCCTAGCTGTCGGCCCAATCAGTCCAGTACTCCCAGCAGCTGAGAGCAGCCCGCAATGAGTACCTGCTCAACTTGGTGGCCACCAATGCCCACCTTGACCACTACTACCAGGAGGAACTGCCAGCTCTGCTCAAGGCCAGTCCTCACCCAGATCACCCCTATCCCTCAGCAAGTAGGGAGGATCCCTGTGCTTCCACTCCCCATGAGGCTGGCTGGTGCCAAGGACCTAGCCTGCTTAAAGAGGGTAGAAGACACATACTTGGCTTCTGGCTGCCTATCACATAGGATACTTAACTTCTTTGAACCTCATATTTCTCATCAAGGTTAACCCTAGTTCTGCCCACCTTGTGACACTAATGAGATTCAAGGAAGAGAATGGATGTGAAAGTGGTTTTTAAACTGTTAAGTGGAGCTATGGGTATAGCTCAGTGGTAGGGTACTGGCCTAGCATAGCCACTGACATCCTGTCTTCTCAGACAACATCCCCTCTACTCCTCTTTCTAATGGGGAGGAAGAAGTGAGAAGGTAGAGGGTGGATACAATTGTTCAGGATTTAATACCTAACACCACAAAAAAAATAAATAAATTGGTAAGTGGTATACATACATGAGAGCCTATAATTAGAAGCAGAAATAATGTCTTACTGCTCTCTTTCCCATCCCTCATGTCCACCTCCCACCCAAACCTGGACAGTGAGCTTTTGCTCTGTAGTAGAGGTCTGAGGGAAAAGTATCTTGGGGTTCTCTCCAGGCCCTGGTCAGCGAGTTGTCAGAACACTTGAGGGACCCTCTGAACTTACTGAGCCGTACTGAGCTGGAAGCTGCAGAGATGGTCTTGGAGCATGCCCGCCTTGCAGGGCAGGCAACCTCCCAGGTGAGGGTTAGGAGCTGTGAGAGCTCCCTTAGAGGTCCTTTTAATTCTTMTCTCTCAGTAGAGATCTTCCTATTGAATATCTGTCCCTTTTCTTCTCACTTTGACCTTCTCCTTCTAAGAGGTGCTGGGGACAGAATTGGAGAGGAGGCCAGTGAGTGGGCCACCATGTCTTTTCCCACCCCCAGGTAAACTGGGAGCAGGATGTGAAGCTGTTTCTTCAGGAGCCTGGAGTCTTTTCCCCTACCCCACCTCAGCAATTTCAGCCAGCAGGGGCTGATCAGGTGAGACTTCCCTTCGGGTTGAAACCAAGCCAAATATAATGAGACTGGTTTAGGCCTCCTGTCTCATTATTCTTGTCCTGGTACTAACTCAGGAACTATTAACTCGGAATACCAGTTCACCTCTCTTTTACCAGGACATAAAAACACATCCCATTTCACCATTCAGTCACTTCACTTCCTTTTTCTTCTACATATCCCTCAACTTGGATCCTGTTCCTGAGACTCTGTGTGTTTCTGTCCATACAAATGCATACCAGTGTTCACAGACACAGATGTGTGCCCTCACCTTTGTCCATTTCCTTCGAGTTCAAGATAAAGAGAGGTAAAAAGAAAACTGGAGAGAAGGATGATCTCAGGTATTCCTCACATCACCCCTGTCCCATTCAGGTGTGTGCCCTGGAGAGGGGAACAGGAGGTATGGCTGGGGAGAGCGGCCTAGAGAAAGAGATCCAGCGCTGGACAAGCAGAGCCGCCCGAGACTACAAAATCCAACACCATGGGCATTGGGTGAGGTGGGGGTTGCAGGTGTTGTGGGTGAGCAAGAATTGCTAAAGATGGGGATCCTAGAGACATTGGTGTTGTCATGGGACTGCAGACAGGATGGGAAGGAAGGGCACTTTAACATAACAATATAACTCAGTAATTAAGAGCAGTGTTTACAGCGAGGCTGACCTGGGTTCAAATTCCCTTCTGTTGCTTCTGAGTTTTGTAATCCTGTGTAAGGGAATGAATGACTTCACCTCTCTGGATTTCAGTTTCCTCATCACTACAGTGGGGCCAAAACTAGCACCCACCTCCAGGGAAGATTAAATGACACAATGCGAGTAATGAAACTAGCAAGGAACCAGGCCCAGAGTAAGTTATGGCCCACAGTATCACCACCCACTCCTCTCTTCCCCACCAGGTACTGCAGCGACTGGAGCAGAGGCGGCAGCAGGCTCCAGAGCGTGAGGCCCCAGGCATAGAACAGCGACTACAGGAAGTGAGGGACAGCATCCGTCGGGCACAGGTGAGGCATAGTCCTAGGCTTAGAGCCACTAAGATTCTATCTCCTCAGCAACACCCCCTCCATTCCTCTTTCTGATGGAGAGGGGGAGGTAAGGTGGCAGAAGGTAGACATAATTGGCCAGGCTCTACTAACTCTCTTCCACTTCGTGCCAGGTGAGCCAGGTGAAGGGGGCTGCTCGGCTGGCCCTGCTGCAGGGGGCTGGCCTGGATGTGCAGCACTGGCTGAAGCCAGCCATGACCCAGGCCCAGGATGAGGTGGAGCAGGAGCGACGGCTCAGTGAGGCTCGGCTGTCCCAGAGAGACCTCTCCCCAACGGTGAGCTCCTCCCCAATCCTAGCTGCACATACCCAGGAGGGTGAAGTTCCCCACTGGAAGGCAGGCCCTCTAAAATGGGATGACAATGGCACTTAACTCAGAGGGCTATTGTGCAGCTTAAATGAGACCATTTATATAAGTCTTTGCATGATTTTTGGCAAAGAGAATCCTCAGTAACCATTTATTGTGAGGATAAAATGATGGTTAAGAACTCAGGTTCTAGCCAGGCACAGCGGCACACGTCTGTAATCCCAGCTACTCAGGAGGCTGAGGCAGGAGGATCACAAGTTTAAGGGCAGCCTCAGCAACACAGTGAAAACCTATCTCAAAAAATAAAAAGGGCTGGGGATATAACTCAGTGGTAAAGTACCCCTGGGTTCAATCCCACTACCAAAACAAAACAAAAGAAAACAAAAAACTCAGGTTTGGGCTGGGGTTATAGCACAGTGGTAGAGCACTTGCCTAGCATGTGTGAGGCACTGGGTTTGATTCTCAGCACCACATATAAATAAAATAAAGGTACACTGACAACTAAAAAGATATTTTAAAAAACCCCTCATTTAAAAAAAATACTTCTGGAAGTATTCTGTAAATGGTTTGGGTATCAGCCACTCCACTCCCTAGCTGTATAATCTTAGAAAATGACTTTTCTGAGCCTCATTTTCTTTAAAAATAAAAAGAGGTTAATGGTTATGCAAATTATGAAGATTAAGTGAAACAATATACATCAGATAGTTAACATGTACTGGGTATACTTTTAAGCACTTAGTTGCTTTAGCTCTGCTATTATTTAGTATCATCCGGCTCTGTGTGATTTTGGTTGTGAGCTATGATGATTGGTTCAGGGGTACTATCTTGGAGGAGGACCCCTGGTGTCCTTTTGAGGTAGGATGGAGAAGGGGGCCCCATAATGATGTCTGTCCTCTGCCCCTCTCCAGGCTGAGGATGCTGAGCTTTCTGACTTTGATGAATGCGAGGAGGCAGGGGAGCTCTTTGAGGAGCCTGCCCCACCGGCCCTAGCCACCAGGCCCTTCCCCTGCCCTGCACATGTGGTGTTTGGCTATCAGGTATGAATGGGAGTGGGGACTTCATATGGGTAACCATAAAGGACAGCTAAATCCTGAATCCTTCCTTGTGGGGCTTAGGCAGGGCATGAGGATGAGCTGACCATCACGGAGGGTGAATGGCTGGAGGTCATAGAGGAGGGAGATGCTGATGAATGGGTCAAGGTACGTATGGGACGCTGGGTTCTGATCATGGGTTGGGGGCAGTGGGAGGACCTCTCTTTGGTTTACAAGTATCTACCCAGGCAAGCTAGAAACATAAGTAGAGGACAGCCAGGGCCATGGACTGCCGAAACAAATCTGATACTTGTTCACATTGCTGGGTGAGCAGGCTCGGAACCAGCATGGTGAGGTGGGCTTTGTCCCTGAGCGGTATCTCAACTTCCCTGATCTCTCCCTTCCCGAGAGTGGCCGTGACAGTGACATTCCCTTGGGTGTAGAGCCCACAGGTAAGAAAGACAAAATCTGGGCCTGGGGTCCTGGATATGAATATGAATTATTGGGTGGTTATGGTCCTGGGATGTCATGGTCCTAGGGTACTGCCACCCATTTCCTTCTCTTACCATCTCTCCTGGGCTTCTATAGCATTCCTCGCCCGCGCACTATATAACTACACGGGACAAAGTGAAGAGGAGCTGAGCTTCCCAGAAGGGGCACTCATCCGCCTGTTACCCCGGGCCCAAGATGGAGTAGATGATGGCTTCTGGAGGGGAGAATTTGGGGGCCATGTTGGAGTCTTTCCCTCCCTGCTGGTGGAGGAGCTGCTTGGTCCTCCAGGGCCACCCGAACTCTGTGATCCTGAACAGGTGAGAATTCAGTCTCCTTGGCTCCCAGCTACCTCTGGGTAGATCCTCACTCTAAGAAGGCCCCATATTCATATTAATGCCTCAGCTTCTTCCCAGTTTTACCTCCTATGGTAGTTTGGGCCTTCCCATCTCTCCTGAGCAGACAGAGAAAAGGGAAATCAAAGGAAACTTCTCATAGGAGTTTGGAGGACTTTAGTGGTGGATAGACCTGAGTTCAAAATTTTCTATTACATGACCTTGGACAGTGACTTAACCTCTCTGAGCTAGTTTCCGCATGTTTAAAATGGAGATAATAATACCTGCTTTAGCAGGCTCACTATCATGACTAGAGATAATAAATGTAAAGCCCTTAGCACCATGGCACACTGGAGATGCTTAAATTGTGATGCCTATTGCCATAAGACAGCATGAAGAACATGATTGGGAGTCAAGAGACTTGGGTTCTAGCCAGCACTATGCCACTAACTCCATGAACTTTTGACAGATGGCCCAATCCGAATCTCACTTCTAACATGATCATAAAAATGCCTACCTCATGGGGTGGTGAGGATAGAATGAATTAAGGTATGTGCAGTACTAGCAGAACACCTAGACATAGTAAGTGTTCAGTACATATTGACTGTTGAAATAGACATCAGTTATAACCCCTACCTAAATACAAGCATTTGGYCATTTTCTGTATTGGAAAGTGAGAGGACAGGAATCGAAAGTGGGATGAGAGGAATAATTGGTGAAGCCTTCTTACATGCAAGGAATAACTCATGCCCACCCTATCTCCAGACACTGCCATCCCCTTCTCCTCCCAGTTTCTCCCCACCTGTACCCACCTCTGCCTTGGATGGACCTTCTGCACCTGTCCTGCCTGGAGGTAAGTAAAGGAAATTGAAAGCTCTGGGAGAATAAGAAATGAAAAGGAGGAATCTTGGACTCTGTTCATACTCCACTCCTGTGTGCCCTCAGTGCACCCACCTTCCATTCTTTGGTACCTTGACCAGAGATGATTATATAGCAGCTGCCAAATAAGTGACGGGGAGAAGAGCATGGGCTTTGGAGCCAGGCTGGCCTAGTTCAAACCTTGCTGTCACTTCCTAGTGTATAACTTGAGATGGGAAGTTTAACTTGTATGGCACTTGGTTAATGTGCTTTAAAAAGTGAAGAGACAGGTACTACTTTATTAAATTGTTTAAGAGTTAGAAAATGTGCCTATAGAGTATACAGCATTGTGCTTGGCACATAATAAACGTATAAATAGTAGCGATTTTATCACTATTATTATTTTAAAAAATAAGCCATATTCTCTGTGTTCTTCCAAAATGCCTTTGTTCTTAGTTGTCTTGAACCCTGAAAATACCTAACTTTGCTGTCATCCTTTTTCCTCTTGACATTCTTTTTTATTTTTTGTGGTGTTGGGGATTAATCCCAGGCACCTGTGAATGCTAGGCAAGCACTCTACCACTGAGCACACCTCTGGTCTCCACCCCAACCCCTTCCTTTTGCCTCTGGGAATGCTCACCTTTTCTAAAACCTTCTGGAATTTAACACTTCCTTCATAGCCACTGTCCCTGATCCCCTGAAATCACTGCCATCTCTAATACCTCTAGTTCACCTTGAATTACTTAACACTTAGACATTCATTGTGTTTGTTCATGTTTCATTACTGGGTATCTAAGAGCATTGGGAGGTGGGCAGAGCTGTGTATCCCACCTTCCATTCTTTGGTACCTTGACCAGAGATGATTATATAGCAGCTGCCAAATAAGTATTTGTTGAGAATAAATGAATTGATGGATTTTACAGCTCAGGTTGGTGACTATTAATTCAGCAAATTCTTATAGAGTGCTATTGTCCTAAATGCTAGAAATGTAGCATTGAACAAAACCTGAAGACTGACTATGGTTCTTGTTTCCAGATAAAGCTCTGGACAGCTCTGGACCCTTAGACTTGATGGCACCTCGACTCAGGCCGGTAAGGGGCCCTGCCTTGGAGGGGACTGTGTGCACAGGGTTCATTCCAGCTGGTCTTGTGTTGTCTACTAGGCTGAGGGAATGGACAGGGAAACTACTGAGAGAGGACTCTGGAGAAGAACTAACTGTGCATTTCCCWCAGATGCGTCCGCCACCTCCCCCGCCGGCTAAAGCTCCAGATCCTGGCCATCCAGATTCCCTCACTTGAAGCTGGGGTATCACTGCCCCCAAGCAATGATGCTGCCCTATCTCCATGATGTCAGAGACCACCCCTCAATGATCCACAGCCACACAGCCAAAAGCTGGAATCTTTCCYACATCTACTTTCATCTCCAGGGTTAGAAACTTCCCCTCTCCSTATTTTTGGGGCAAGAATCCATTTCTCCAGTTGTCCTCCTGCCATCTTTAGGGCTGTAACTACCCCTTCATCTGCCATTGCCCCATCAGAAATACCCTGAAATCTCGGGGCTAAATCTCATTCCCGAAGTCCTGACTGGCTCTGGTCCATCTCATCTCCACCCTGGCTCTGTAGCCCACCCCACTTTGGATGCCAGGGTCACTTGGGTTGGAGCCGGGACAGGAGCTAGCCTTGGGAGTCAGAAGGAGCCAGTATGCGAAGCAGCTGTAATGGTCTGAGCGGATTTATTGACAGTGAATAAAGGGCACGAAGGCCAAGCCAGGGCCTGGACCTCTTTTGCCAAGAGGGCAGGGAGCCTAAGGTGCTATTGCTTTCGGGCCCCACCAAAGGCAGGAACCTGGTCCCAGCTGCCATGCTCTATCAATATGGAGCGAGGTGTTGGGGAAGGCAGGCTAGGCAGCCTGTGGGCAGGTAGGGGAAGGGAAGGAAACCGAGCGTCCACGAGTGGAGGGACTTTTCCCAAGTTCCCTCAGCCTGAGACCGTGCAACTCCAGGCGAAAGTAGAGCTGGTCCCTCAACTGGGAGCAGTGCTGTCCAGTGAAGGGGAGGGCCTTCATGYCCACCTACTCCCTGACCCTGCCAGCTGGTGGTCCATCAGCACAATGAAGAATGAGGCTTGGAGACGAGGAAGGGGAAGAGTTGCTTCCTGTTTAAGCTGTGTCYTAGCTTTTCCCCAGGGGCAGCCCATCCTTCCCTGTTCTCTGGAGCACATACCCACTCCCCACCACCAGCCAAGGAATTTGTAGCAAGCACAGGCTTAACCTAGAGCTCACCCTGGAGTTTCAGGAGATGATGGGCTAAGTAATTTAGGTAGGGGGTGGGAGGACAAGATTATCTGATTTGGCGTTCAAACTCACCTCACATACCCCCTGCTCCCTGTGGTGGAGACACCTGAGAGAAAGGGGAGACATCAACAATGGGAACAGGAGGTGATTCATATCATTGCTCTCCAGAGTAAGAGGCAATAAAACTGAGCCCACTGAGCCCAGTGCAGCCCTGGCCGCGCCTTCATACCTGGTGATCTGAGGTGTCTGGTTTGCTTTGCTGTCCATTTGCCTCTTGACTGGGCAGCCTTGGACTTGGGCTCAGGATCCTCCCTCTGGCCCCCAGTGTTGGTTCTGCAGAGGTCCCAGAGTTCCCCTCAAGTGCACAAGGCACTAGGCTGTTGTCCTTGAGTCCTCCATTCTGCACTGGGGGACTGGCTAATGACTGGGGTTGTGGCTCCTCAGGGGGCAGCCTCTCAATGACAGGCATCCCTGTCCTGGGTAGCCTTCCACCAGACCCCTGACCAACTCCTGGGTCCTGCCCCCCACCAGAGCCCCAGCTTCTGTCCGTGGGGGAACCATCACGATGCTCATGCAGCCCATAACGCTTCTCAATGTGTGTCACCCGGAACCTGGGAGGGGAGAGAATACTGAGGCTTAGGACCACAACTCAAGAGGCTGCCTGGCATTCTCCTCTGACTACAGACATTCTAGGTTTTATGGCCACTTCCCTTTGGCCTAGGGTGGAAGAGGTCTTCTCAGATTGTGGGAAACACCATGCAGCCTGAACCCTGCTGCAGCTCCCAATCCAGCAGGAAAGAGCTAGGGCAACTGATCATTGGGGCCCCCACCTCAACCTCCCTTTCCTGGAGCACTCTGTCCCCACCTGCCCACAGAGAACACAGTGGTCTCTCCAGGTCGGGGACGGCTTTTTCCTTCCTTGGACCTTCCCTGACGAACAAGTGGGGGCCTCTTGTTGCGGCTGCAGTGGATGCAAGGGGCTGCGGAGCCCAGATGCACTGTGTGGTGATGGGAGGGAGCTCCATCCTGTATGCTGGAGGTGGCATCCACGCTGGACAGTAGGGGGAGGAGAGCAAAAATGATATTTCTATTCCCCTTCTTGTCCCATTTCCTCTGGTTCTTTCAGCATGCTTTTCATACTCCCCAAACCCCACTTTTCCCAGGTCCTAACATTATTTTTTCTAATAAATTTAATATTAAGTTATGAGTGACTATGTATAGTTTTTCCTTGTGGCCCTGTTTGCTAAAAAGAGGGCAATGCTTAAATCAAAAGAGTGGCCCTAGATGTGAATGTTGTTAGACTTGTGATATCTAGATGGGAAACATGGTTTGAAGGACTTGGAATTTCTATAAAWTTTTTTTTTCCTATAAGTTAGCAAGCTTCCCCTCCCCCAAACCCCAAAACAATGATACTGGGAGGAGACTGTGCTGGAGGAGAGGGTACTCTCCAAGGCAAGCTAAGTCATGCTGGCCTTTGTTTCCAGCTCACCTGGAGAGCTGCACTGTCCCTTCTCCTTCACTGTCCCCCAGCATCTCCTTCAAGGCCTCAGCATTGGCTGAGGGGAGAAGGAAAAGAGGGAGTCAGTGGAGGGGGAGGTCAGGGCAAGAGTCAGGGTGGGAAGGAGCATTGGGTCAGCTACACCCACCTTCATTTTGGATGATGCAGCGAACAATCCTCTCTACTGTGTCCTCATTCACGTCATCATCCTCAGCTGAAGGATGAAAGAGGTTGGCAAGGAAATGGAAAATGAATCAGCTTTGGGGGAACATGACCTGATGGCCCCCATGGCTGATTCTCAAGACATCCATTTACCTATTTGCCATGATGGCTGGACTTTATTATTTCAGGGGCCAGAAAAGATGGGGGGAGGAAATAGGAGCCTAATACTACCATTAGTGAGCCCTTCCTGCCCATGCTTTCTCCAGCATTGCTTTCAGGGTGGTGTCACTCTACTTGCTGATTCAAGAATGCATCACTAGGCTTCCTGCAGGGTTGATCAGGGTTTGGCCTGGGTCTTTCAGCCAGAAAGGCAGAAAGAGGTGTGGAGAGAAGGGTAAGGGAGAAAGGTGACTGAGCCAAGTTTCCAGGCTCCTCACTCACGTGGCTGAAGCTGGGCATCGTCAGGCTCCGAGCCCCTAGACGTGCGGCACCGGTAGCCTTTCTTCTTGAGCACGTGGCAGATCATGAAGCCTACTAGGCCCATGAGGAAGAAGACCAGCACAAGCAGGAAGAGCATGTACAGCCCATGTTGGGGCGGCTCCAGGTCAGGCTGTGGTTCCGACATGAGGCCCTGGGGGGCGAGCGCGGGCCAGGGCGCCTCCTGAGTTTAGGGGGCTGCAGCTAGGGATGAGGGAGGGTTACAAATGGGGTCCTCGAGATCTGAAACAGACTTGCCTGCAGGCCCGGCCCCACCCCTAACCCAACCACAGGGAGCTGTCCGGGCCAAAGGTGCTAGTCAGCCAAGACCGCCTGAGGTTGCAGGCCAGACGGTGGCTGTGCAAGCCCTCTGACACAACCGGAGTCCCACTTCCCCGACGCCCAGAGCGTCCCCCTTTTCATCTGGCCCCGAGGATCCGTCCCTCCCAAGGACACTGCAGATCGAGATGGGACAAAATTCTTAGGCAGCGGGCGCAGATAACGCGCCTGAGTCAGCGTCCGCACCTCCTCCGCGTTGGCCTGAGCCAGGCCTCCTGCAGCCCCCTCCTCTCCCAGGTTTCTCAGATCCCTCCTCTCCCTTTAGGTTCCTCCCACCCAGACCATCTGGCCCACCCGGTACCGGTGGTTTTGTTCTGGCTCCGACTCCGGCTCGGGTTCCCGCTCCAGGGGCGTCCTAGTCCGGCTCGGGGCCCCCGTCGCCCTCCCGGCGTTCATCCCTTGATTCCTCCCCCTCCCCCCTACACCGCCTCACCGGCTCCGGGCTGTGGCTGCGGATACCGGTGCCGCGGCAAGCGGGGGGGAGGGAAGGATGGAGAGGGAATGCGGACTGGYTGGGAGCCGCAGCAGGCGGACCACTCCAGCCCTGGGGAATGGAGAAGGGAGGCGCCTCCGCCGCCACCCTGGGTTCCCAAATCCTTCTCTCCTTGCCCGCCCGGGACCAAGGGGCGGAGCGCAGGTGTGCGGGGCGCAGAGCGTGAGCCTTGCGCGCWTGTGAGCGCGAGTGAGATGCGCGCGTGACTGCGCCGTCCCCCCCCCCCCACCATCGGCGGGAATGTGCGGCGCCGAGTCTGGGTCCGCGTAGGGGACAGGAGGTCAGGCGGGGGTGCTCTCCACTGCTCTATCCGGCACGCCTGGCGTAGCTCCTGTCCTCAGTTAGCCTAGACGAGTGATAGCCAGGAATCTTTCCAGCGGGCTGGGGAAAATTGTCTTTCTGAGAGGGACACCGTGGCCAGATCTTCGGAGCTTCCTAGACAGATGACCACGGCCTGTTTCCCGTTTGGGGCAAGTGGTTGGACGGGATGGTTCGGCTTCCAGAAGATATCACCCCCCGCCCAGAAAGAATCCTAGAACCGATGCCACGGTCCCCAGCCCAAGCCGGGTAGCTCACGCCCCAGAATCTGGAACTAAGAAGCTAATCGAGGGGCGGAACTCCCGCAGGGGCGTGATGTGGGCACTATCTCAGAGAGGCGGGGCCTAACCTTCCCTGTTCCGCAGAGGCAGGCTACGTGCTTGCGTAGTACGCACGAGCCGGGGGCGGGGCTGGTGTCCGGCGGGCGGCGGAGGCGCGGGGCCTGGTCCCGCCGGCGCTATGGCCAAGACCGTGGCCTATTTCTACGACCCTGACGTGGGCAACTTCCACTACGGTGAGGGAACGGGTTTGTGCGCTAGGGGCTTGGACGCAGAGGTTTCGAGGCAAGAGCTGTAGCTTCAGGGATGAGAACTGACCAACTCTCTTTTCCCCACCCCCAGGAGCTGGGCACCCTATGAAGCCCCATCGCCTGGCATTGACTCATAGCCTGGTCCTGCACTATGGTCTCTATAAGAAGATGATCGTGAGTCCAGCTGGCGGGTTGGGAGCGAGCTGTGGCCTTAGGGATAAGTGGATTGGACCGAATGCACCAGGTGCACCCGCCCCTAGGGTAGGGGGCWGTTAGAAGTCGCCTGGAGCACTCCCTGTTTGCAGAGTTTGTGGGTGGGCATTCTCTGAGTTAATGGGAGTTACATTTTCACCTCAGGCTAGTCACCCTTTTGACATTAGGCACACCAGCCCTTGGTGTAGGGTTAGGGCKGTGTGAGGCCCTCTTGAAGACAAATGTGTTTCTTTCTGAATTTATTTTATTTCTTTCTTTCTGTATTTATTTTTGCAGTCCTGGGAGATCCAATCAGGGCCTTAGG